GTCTTAAGTATGTGGTCCTGAATTCATTCAAGAGTTAGAAGTTCACTATTTATTTAGTATTATAGCCTTTTAACCTCTCAAGCTTTACCGATATGATCTCATGTAGTTCGAGGTTTCTTTGGCCCAAACCAAGTGATTACACATCTGATGTGTGTCTTATGGCTCTTCAAATTCGCAGTTTAGAACTAAATCAGAGACTACAGTTACTTAATCCAGTTCTGCTCTCTTGTTCAATGTTTGTCATAAGTGTTTGTTCGTGTCTGTTCTTTATAAGTGACCACTGTAGTGCATATACTTATACACAGTTATGCTATCGGTACAGGTATTATTTCTTGTTTTCTACAGTCAGGACTTTCTCTTAAGCGCAATAATTTACCAAAGAAATTCACCTAGTTGCGTAAATAATTTGGTGTATAGATATTCTGTTAATGTCTCCTTGCGGTGATTCAAAGTTTCTGAGATCTATCACAAGTGGATTTTGCATTTAGACGGTCACTCTTGTCTGATAAAATTACTGCTCTAGCAGTTTCAAATTTATACTTTGATCTCTGATTCATCACTAAATGACACTCATGCGGTGTCATTTATCTTTAATCAGTTCAAAGCTATTTCGACAATGAATCATCAAAGGTCCGATTGAAGAAGGAATTTTCTGGTGAGTGCTGCGGCTGAACCGACATCACAACTCAACTTTCAAAAGCATCAACTTATAAAAATTTATCAGGAAGTGGTAATGGTAAGTGAAAATCATGGTAGTGCTCGCTTCTTTCATGAGCAAAATGTGCGCTCAAAATTTCAAAATCTATTCACCTGCATGTATATTTGAAGAGGAATATGACATGATATGTAGCAGGCTACACTTCATCTATGAATAATACGTAAATTTGTCTTGAGAGCATTCTTAGGAAACTTCCACAATTTTTAGTTTTGTTCCTGAGAGAAAATTTGGAGACGACTCTGCTGGTATTCCCAGGGTTTTTTCAGAAATTTTGTACTTCATAGGTATCATCAAATACTTAAGTATCAACAGATATTGTACAAGACAGAAAATTTATTTGAGGATTCCTGCTAGTATTTTGTGTTTCCTGCAGAAACAAGGCTCATCATATTTCATGGAATGAAGTAATCAAAAACTACTTACTTACCTACAGCTTGGTCAGTTTCATGTCTTCCTAGAGTGAAGAAAATATTTTTTTTTCTCTCTATTTAAGAATTCAAGGTGAATCAAACCTGTCCAACAAACATTTTAATAAAATCCCTTTGTTCAAAAACACCTAAGAATCATTTCAATGGTAAAGTTGCCAACGATTCTTGTTAAAAGTCCGAAAGTCGGCTGGTTTACTGAATTTCTCAGGTACAGATGGATGGAAGGATTTTGAAAAGACCTAGAATTACATCCTCCCATAAGAATAAGTCAGGAACATGGTTAAGGTTATCTGGGGATGACATTTGTAACATTTCGTTGCATGATTTTATAATCGAAGAGAAACAGAAAGTCTGAAACTTTGTAAATCTACGTTAGTGGTTTTCTAGTTAGGCTATGACATTGATATGCTCGTTTTGTTATCAATTAATCTCCACAAAGGTAAGCATACTTACAAAAACTGTACCACAAGAGATGCGAATGTAACTTGTGATACCTAAGTGACTTTACAAATCTTACCTGTTAAACTACCAGCTGCCCGATTATTGAAACTATGTCAGCCCGACATGAAAAGACATAGCCCTATCATATCCATGCAATATATTCGAATTTGATGTCTTGTCAGCTTGCTCTAAGCCTTCAATAATCGGCCTGCTGATTAGTTGCAAAATATTTCCATTTCCAGACGAATGATCATGTCTTGGTTGATACTTTCGATAGTAGAGTTGTGATGTCGGTTCAGCCGCAGCACTCACCAGAAAATTCCTTCTTCAATCGGACCTTTGATGATTCATTGTCGAAATAGCTTTGAACTGATTAAAGATAAATGACACCGCATGAGTGTCATTTAGTGATGAATCAGAGATCAAAGTATAAATTTGAAACTGCTAGAGCAGTAATTTTATCAGACAAGTGACCGTCTAAATGCAAAATCCACTTGTGATAGATCTCAGAAACTTTGAATCACCGCAAGGAGACATTAACAGAATATCTATACACCAAATTATTTACGCAACTAGGTGAATTTCTTTGGTAAATTATTGCGCTTAAGAGAAAGTCCTGACTGTAGAAAACAAGAAATAATACCTGTACCGATAGCATAACTGTGTATAAGTATATGCACTACAGTGGTCACTTATAAAGAACAGACACGAACAAACACTTATGACAAACATTGAACAAGAGAGCAGAACTGGATTAAGTAACTGTAGTCTCTGATTTAGTTCTAAACTGCGAATTTGAAGAGCCATAAGACACACATCAGATGTGTAATCACTTGGTTTGGGCCAAAGAAACCTCGAACTACATGAGATCATATCGGTAAAGCTTGAGAGGTTAAAAGGCTATAATACTAAATAAATAGTGAACTTCTAACTCTTGAATGAATTCAGGACCACATACTTAAGACAAAGAAACTGCAAAACATTTGATTTGAGGCGAAAATGAAAAGAGAATGGTCAAAAAAAGTAAAAGAAGAAAGTCTGGGTTTGAACACTGGACTTGTAAGACTGATTTTCAGAATGCACCTTAAAATGAGCCGATAAGCCGTGGCTCCTGGTTGTAAAATACGATGAATATTATTGCCAAATGCTTGGTTGAAGTCGAAAATGGATTTAAATTAATTAAAATTAAGAGATTTCGAGTTGTTTGGATCATTCGTGTTATCAATCTTCGTTTGTTTATACGACCCACACACGGCAGAGGCATGCAGAGGTACCTCGCCGGCACGCCGGGTCAAAAGTGTGGCCACCGCCGGACGGAGAAAATGGGCGCCATTTTGAGATGGGCCAAGCGGCGCGCGTTTAAATGGGAGCCCAAAATACGGACTTTTGGACTCGTATTTCGTGGGTTAATATTGCTCAAAAAAATCGGGGAAAATTCCTGTGAACTCTGTGCACTCTCTAGTTTCCAAAAATGCAAGAATTACGAATTGCTGAACAAGCTCATTGTATTGGGCAAGTGGAAATTTTAGTAGTTTTGAATTAGGGCCTTAAAAGGTATATGTTATTGGTAATTAGGTTATTTATGATTTTATATTTTCTTTGGGAGGGTTTATGCATTATTGAAGTTATATTGTAGGGGGGGGGGAAGAATATTTTAGCTTTCTTAAGTCTTGAATCATTTTATCTCTGTCTTTTAGTTTTTCACATTGAAAGAGAATATGGTTTAGGTCGCCTAGCAGGCCACATTCACATTTATCAGAATCTTCGAGGTTTAAAATTGAGAGTTGAGGATTACAACATTTACATTGAATTAATAATGAAGAATTCCTATTTTGGCAAATATCTCCTCATGTATGTGCATAGGCGGTTCTACGGGGGTGCCAGTGGGTGCCGGGCACCCCCAAGCAAAAATTAAGTACGGTTATCGGAACCGTGAAATTACTGCTTTTATAGACTCTATATATTCGCTCACACTGAGTAAAAATCCCAGCGATCAATTGAAAATGTTTTCAACAGAATTAATATTGATAGCCGTGTTTTACAAAGATTCTACTGTTTTTTTAATGGTAAGATTGTAGTTTTGATGGAAAGTTTTGCTACAAATTTTCTACATTGAATTTATAGGTATTTAAGTAGAGAGGAAGGAGGAAAAAAGAGAAAGGAGGGTAGGGAAGGGATAAAACTTGAGGGCCGAAACTTGGGCCTCCCCTGAGCGACCGTCCCCTTCGGAACCGGTCTCCGACATTTTCCACCTCTGGGCACCCCCAAGCATGAAGGTCTAGAACCGCCTATGTGTATGTGGAATGTGGATTTTGAAATTGGGCATGAACCAATGTTCATGCCCAATGTCTTTCCCGTTGAATTTTGCTCTCTGTCTATGTAAGGTATTAAAATTTCAAAATTCCCAATCAGAAGCAGTTTCATGCTAAAATCCTTTGGAAAGTCAGAACAAAATCAAGAAAGGACCACATACAGAATACCTAGAACTTGCATGGTCTAAGCCATGAGAGGTGCTCAGCGAACGGTGGGCCGTTGGAAAGGGCAAGCCGGCCAGGTCCGCGGGTTGCTGTGCGAGATGAGTGCCAGGTGACGGACGTGTGCAGATTGAGCATAGGTGATAAGCTCGCGGCTCATACATATAGCCGCGACCTTTGCGAGCTGTACCCAATGATTGGTACTGATTGGCGGAACGGATGGCTTGCCGCCACAGCTGAATTTCGATATTATTTCATGTGATGATGTTCCTTACAACCTCCTGAATTGGATAAATTATTAAAATCGAACTTTCTATGTGGCAATGTCATGAAAATTGGGGCTGAAAAGTGAGTTTTCCGGGCATTTTTTCACGAATTTTTTTGTGAAAGTGTGAGTCTGACACTGTGTGTATAGACGCCACGCTAAGCATTGTCATCATTCAAAGAAATTAGATGATTTTGGTCTGTCTTATCTGTCCTGCCAATGAGGAAACGAAAGCTTTCCTTAATCATTAGTCAGATCTTGCAAAATTCTTCTGGATAATGCAAAAACGCTGAAAAATTCAGATTTACTTTCCGTGAGCTTGGCACATAGAAAGTTTGATTTTAAAAGCTCATTGTGCCTAGGGTGTCATACGGCACATCGTATCTAATATTATCGAAATTTAGCTGGTGCCGAATTTGTTAGAATTCGATGAGTAGTTCTTTCATATTTAAAAACCTTGGAAAGTCAGAAAAATGTTGAAGTACTTTTATTACAATCTAAGGAGACTGGCTCTCCGGTTTCCAGATTTTACACAAGAACTTTACAAAAAACAAGGTAATGATTTCAGCTGCAGAAGAAGATTTGTTTTGTTACCTAAGAACCACAATGGGCAGGGATGTGGACACAAATTATTTTCCTAGTGGCTACCATGAGTCAAATTTGATACTTTTCAGGTTTTTGGTGCATACTGTTCTTCAAGATGGTTGGAAAGGAATCAAAAAGATGAACGAGGTAACAGAATCACCTATTTTGGCACTGGGGAAACATTCTTATTTAGTTTGTACCCAGAACGTGCAAAGTATCCTTGGGTAGGAATGGAAGGGGATAGTGTGAATCATTCAAACGAATTATTCATGGCAGCTGATCAGAAGATGATAACAGTTGGTGGAGGGTACGTATAATTTTACTATCCCGATCAAACTCTCACTTATACCATTGAATAGAAACAAAGTCAACAAACAGGTCCTGCAAACTTTCTTTTTTTCTTTCTAATTTTGCCCCAAACAGTCTAAAATCCTTTTTTAAAAGAGACCCATTAGGGTTTTCCAGTAAAACCGCATGCTTGGAAAGTCATGCTCCTTCAGCGTTTTTCATGTCTTACTGTTGCAAATGGTGATCTTTGAATTTCAGGCTCTGAGGTAAAGCCTAGATGTACTATGAACCTAAGTAAAGATGGGGAGGAGCAGGCCGTGCTCCTGATTCGCGTTTGCAATCAAAATGTGACCACAAAGAGCTAGGTTTTACAATGATAAAAAAAAATTTAAAGAAAAGGGGGAATAAAAAATGTGATTATTCAATGGTACGGTAAACCATGTTTAAGATAATTATGTATTGAGCAAATTATCACTGCCAGAAGTGTACAAAATAATAAAAAATTATTCGGTGTGTGTAAAGAACATTTAGGTATCTTTTGGATTACACAAACTGCTTTATGGTAATTTTTAACGACCGTTGGCCAAAAAATTCCAACATACTATCTCTTGGTTTGGTTTATCTCTTCCTAATCTTCCATCAAGTCATGGCACCAACCAATCCAACAACTTGGTTAACAAGGTCACCAATCATGGTCCCTTTTTATTGGCCGCTTGTGTATGGTGAAGACTGGGATCTTTTGCTGCTTGTCCTGAGTCTAGGTTGGGACTGTAGTCGTCAATATATGATTTTCTCCTTGCTTGAAAGAAGAAGAAAAACAAAAAAGGAAGAAACATAATCCCAAACCTGGTGTCAAACAGAGCAGAGGTGCTTGTCAATTACTATACTCATGTTTTGGCCATTAAATGTTCAATTTTTATAAAATATCATTAATAGTTAAAAAATAACAAAATGCTTCCATAGTATAAATTGAGAATTTCAAAAATCGAGAGTCTAAAATAAAGTTTTAATTGCAAGTTTAAGCCATCAGTGAAAACAACCTCTCTCTAGAATCATTAAAGATTCCACTGGAAACTGCAAGTGCTAACCTTCCAGTGGATTTCCTGTCAGCTGTATCTATTAATTACTAATACTTTAATTCTTCTTTGCCTAAATTTTAAGACTCTCCCACAAAGAGCCCCTCATAAAAGGCGCTTATTTTCGCCACTTTTTAGGCAGTGGGTTCGACCATTGGACTTAGGTTTAAATGGAAGCTTATGTTGACACAAAACTCAGGAAAAAAGAGCTTGATGCAAAAACGACGTTTTTCGCCCCCAATTTGACGAATTTCTTTAAACTTTGTCAATTTGATTCATTTTTGAAACCTACCTTGAAAACCTATTGGCATCTATTTTATGGGGGTATGAAGCTATCTATCGTCATTTTCCCACTATAAAGCCCATTTTAGCCGCCATATTGGATTCCCCCCCCTTAGGCTGATGACAGTCTCAATGTAAAATTCGAGTTCTACGACCAAAATTACCCATGAAAAGACACCCTATTCGGGGTGATTCAAAATATTTCGACCCCCCGGCGGCCATTTTGGGGGGAACCCTAAGCCCTCTCGACGGGTCTAGAACAATTTCTGACCTCATATTCGTTATTCTCTTCCCAGAAAACCCATTAGCGGATACGCCATACAGTATATAGAGCCATCTACGGCCATTTTCTCACGGGGAGGCCCATTTTGGCCGCCATCTTGGAATTGCGGTTCCTGCGTCGGAGGATTTTATAAATGTGAAATTCGGATCCTGCGACTAAAATCACGTATGAAATGACACCTTGGTCGGCTTTTCAAGAAAATTTAAAATTTGTTGACTCCCCCCCCCTAGGGTGTCCCATTTTGGACCTTAAAAAAAATTTGCGAAATCCAACAGAGATACTTGCCAAAAAGTTGTCTCGTGGTTAGAAAAAAATCACAAAAAAATCTCAGGGTCGTAGCTAAAGGTTAAGTGGTCCCGCAAGGCACTTACGTGGTTTTACCGATTTCTCATATTGACGATTTTGCAGATTTTTTTTCGGTAAATGCAATCGAGCTAGAAAGTCGCAAATGCGGATAATGAGACTTCTGAAACTATATTTTAAGAGAAAAATAACAGTTTGGACCCACGAAGATAAAAAATTGGCCACCGGCCAATTTATGCGCGGCGCTTCGCGCCGCGTACCGGCGCTACGCGCCGGCATTTGGGGGGCTTCGCCCCCCTATCCGCTTAGCGGATTGGTGCGGGGACCGCACGGGACTTTCTCACTCGAGCCGGCATAGACACTTTTACTGGAATATTTAGAAAAATACTGCCAATTTTACAAAATCATAAAGTTTGATTGGAATTTTGATCACAGGATAATAGTTATGAAATTTTTATTCAAACCACTGAACTTTATTGTAAATGTCTTCGCGATATGTGATGAATTCATATATTCAGACTCGACTTTTTGATTTTATGAGGCATCTTCAATTAAATATGTAATTGATTAACAAAGTCTCCTGTCAAAGATGGCGATCCGTAAAAATCTTAGCTTTTCTACGATTCATTAGGATCCATTAGATTCATTGACATCATACTTCAGATACGATTTTATATTATAATCTCTCCTTAAGCACGGTCAAAAGCCATCAAATATCTACTTGAATGGGTAGAATGACCATTCGATGTTCAAATAGTCTTAAAACTAAACGGTTTTCGCTTAGCATCTCCCAAATTTTAAATTTGGCGGGCGAATCTACCTGCTGGAAGGTTCACCACACGCCCGCCAGGAGCGCCATCTCCTTACCGCGTATCCCTGTAATTCAACGCGAAAACAATAGAGAGCGCTGAGAGCGCCATCTCCTTGCTGCTGTTGACAAACGTCCTCGGGTTCTAACAATTTATAACCTCCTTTATTAAGTAACAAGCATTAAATCAGTCATATTTGTGCCGTATTATTATATTATATTTGTGCTTAGTACCTCGTAAAAAGGAACCGCGAAAGATGGAATCTGCCGGGATTCTAAATTCATTAACAACAAACATATTAGTATTTAATAAAGATGTAAGTGTCAGTTCTTGCGTCAGCTTGATAACTCATAGTAACTATATATTGTAAGTACGTACCTAATTAGTTGTCTAATTTTGCTTGGTGTATACCTACGGAGTAATTTTGGAAATAGTATATGATGCATTATATAATGCATTTGAATTCCTAGGTTTCACCTGACTCAAAGCGTTTGCTGCTATTATCTAGAAGCGTTCCGACTCACTTATCAGAGAATTGAGCGTTTCCTATCGGCCCCTCTGCAATTATGAGATTAGTCCAAGAATCCTTTAGGAACTTAAATTAATGACTCAGATGGTGCTTTTGAGCCAACTTTCAAAGAATTAAAGGCATTTTTTCAAAATCTACAGTCCATGAGCTCTCCGTGTGACCGAAGTGCTCTCCTCGCTATATGACGCGTAACCCTTCAATTTTTAGTTTAGTCCAAAGACCTCATAGGAACTTACATTATTGAACCAGGTGGTGCTCTTATGCCAACTTTCGAAGAAATGAAAGGCATTTTTTTCAAATTTACAGTCTTTGAAAATGAGTTGTTTGTGTGATGTCGCGGAGCAAAGTGCCCTACTTTTGGGCCTCGTAATCCCTTGAATTTTGAGTTTAGTCCAAAGATCTTTTAGGAACTTAAATTAATGACCCAGGTGATGTGCTTGATGCCCACTTTTAAAGAATTAAAGGCATTTTTCAAAATTTACGGTCCCTCAAAATGAGCTTTCCGTGTGATTTTGCTGAAAATGGACCTTTAACCCAATTTGACCCTAGCCCCCCCAAATTTTAGCGTACCCCAAAATCGTTGGACGTGCATAAGGAGACCATAAATATGGTGTTCTGTGAGAATTTTGAATGAAATCGAACTGATAGATTCTGAGATATCGCTGTACACAGATTTGGGGGACGCCACACGGACGGACACACATTTTTTCAAGTATGGTTATTTTGACTCCTGGGACCTTAAAACGTCTAGAAATGATGAAATTTCAACTTTTTTTTTTTTTTTCTTGGAGGATGACAATACTTCCTCTCTACCCTAGGGGAGCGAGAAAGTAAAAATCCCTCGTTCTTAGCTCTCAAAATGCAAAAATCAGCGATTTTAGCATTTTGTAGGCAAAACGCTTCTCGACCGTCGCTCGACTTAAATGTCGCGGCATTTGACGCGCTGTTTCACAATGATCCCTTCGGAGGAGCAAAAAGTCCTTCAAGTATGTTCATTAGATGTGTAAGTCGGTCACTTTGGCCCATTTTCGTGGATATTAAGCTTTGCGCTCATTTTTTAATTTTTTTTTTTTTTTTTTTTTTTTCTCCTGTTTTTCATCATTTTTTAAAATGGTTTAAAAAGGGCGACTCATCTTACACCAGAATTGAACGCCTTTGGCAAACAATGTACGTAGGTGGTCAAATCCTTCCTCTAAAAAAGTTTTTGGATTCAAAGTTTCCCAAAAAAGCCGACGTTGCCATATTTTATCGCCTGAAAACACAAAAAACCGAGTACCTATTTTAGTAATCGGTGAGGCTGTTCCTCACCAAGCTCATTCAGCAAAGCTCAGCAAACCTTGAATTTTTATACGTAATGATCACATTACTAGTGATTATGTACATGTATTTATCTACAGAGCCTCCCTCTGCGGCGCGACGTTGCCACAAATCATCGGTAAAAGTTGATCAAGATTCGCGTTTCCCTAGATTCGAGCCATTTTTTCGGACATTGCACATGGAATACATATGTAAAACTTTAATTGCAGTATTCAGAGATGGAAGAGGATCATACCTTGTGCGGATGTTCATTATTTTAAGATCCTGCGCTTATTGACAAACCATTTCTTACGAATTCTATATTGTTAAAAATCAATGATTTACTCTGAGTGAATAGCCGGCGTGAAAAAAAATCCAGCGCGAATTTCGCGCCGTACTCTGAGTGAATAGATCAGAGCGTAAATTTCACCAATGACAGAC